ATAAGAATTTATTACAATGCTCATTCTAGCCAAATATTTTCCAATAGGATGTCATTTAAGGAATTCAAAATTGCATGAACTTCCTTACTGATTTTCAAAGCTCTCAACCAAAAGTCCCATCTTCTGTTTATTTAAAGATTCCTTGCGAACTATAAACTAAGAATAAAAACACTTGGACACTCAAAATATGACTTTCGAGGGAAAAGTAATGGCATTGCTAAGTAGGCAGAAGAGGACTTACAATATTATGACGAAGAGAGTTTCGTCCAATGCACTTGCACTACATGTATGGATCATGTAAGTTGGATCGATGTATTTTACGTCTACCGGAAATCCAATTACCTTCAAGAATTTATTGGTCTGTGATAAGAAAAATGAAATTTAGTAAAAAATTATAAAAATGCGAAATCAAATTTCTGATCGTATATAAAGATATGAAGAGACATCTACAGTTAGGAGTTCCTTATTTATTGCCATCTAACTTGATATTGACCTCACCATTAACCTCCACATATGTCCAACTTCTCAGAGTTGCAGAGTTGGAATTGAAACTAAAATTTAGGAGTCCCTTTCCTTTTTCTAATTCAATAATTATTATAGATAATGACGCGTGGTATCTATAAAATATTACTATGTACTGATGTTTCGGTCAATCATATATATTGACAAATGGCCATCATAATCTTTGTAATTACTATTTATGATGTTCAAGTGAGATATATATTGACTAACGACAATTAAGAAGATTACAGAAAGATCAGAGCCTAACGGCAGCAAGGAGTAGCAGGTTAGAGAAAAACAAATCCGAAAATTAATATTATAAATAAAGAATAGGCAAATGATGAATGTACCAACCTCCTGCTATATATGCACACCGATATCGCCTAGTATAATATTCCATGATGCACCTGTAGCATTGGTTTTCTGAAGGAGATCCTGCAAATAAAATAACATTAAAAAAGAGAGAGAAGATAGAGAGAGAGAGAGAGACTGATCAAACAAAATCGAGCTCAAGTTTCATACCTAGAACCACATAGTTGAATGTAAGACATGTAAAAATAAAGCCATTGAAAAGAAGCATATTAACAGGCCTCATGGCTATATATATGAAGATAAATAAACAGCTTTTGTTTCAAATCGTAAGGCCCTTCAGCCAACGCGAATAGAACTGCAAAGCCTCATGTGGTTTGTATTCTGGCAACGTGTGTCCAGCTCCGTGCACAATGTATAGTTTGGGATTATTATTATTATTATTATCATCATCATCATCATCATCATCATCATCATCCATTTTTAGTAAAATTATATTATTGTTAATGGAAAGTCTGTAAATATACCTTTATAGTGAGGAATGTGAGGTTCTTCTAATAGCCCTGAATGTACCTGTGTGCACAAAGAAACAAATATTGAAGCGATTTATGATTTATGAATACTCTACTAACATTTGTTTGTACTTTGTATTTTAAAAACCGCACATCTCGAAAAGGCATTTTGTAAAAATAACACCAAAAAAAAGGAATGGTAAATAATTGGGCTCTTTTGTAATTAAGCTAACCATGAGACTACTTACTATTTGTCATTTTATTTAGCTTCTATTTTTAGTTAAACTTTCATCTGAAAGACATTATTAGATGAATATTCTACTAAAATTTGTTGTACATTGTATTTTAAAAACTGCACATCTCTAAAAGGTATTTGCAGAAATAACACAAAAACCATTACCTGAAGAAAGAAAGAGAACCCAAAAAAAAAAAGGAATGGTAAATCATTGTACTCTTTTGTGATTAAGCTAAGAACATGAGCGGCTTTTTGTTACTGGGATCGCATTTTTCTGCCTTGCCATGTAATTGGAATGCTTCCAGAAGTTGTGCATTAGGGTAAAATCTGCCAAGTTATGAAACTAAGTTATAACACACTAATCCCTAAAATCAAAAGGAGAACTGTAAGTTTGTTACAACCCTATGACAATTCGAGAAAACTCATGCTTCAAGAAATTACATCTCATAACAGAAAGAACACTCATATTCAAAGATGCAATTCAATAATCCAAAAATAGAATAAAAGTCGGATAAATTGAGAAAGAACAAGGAAAAAACCCGTTACTAACCAAACAATGACATTAATGAATAAACAAGAAATAAACATCATGGACCAGTGAAATGTGATGAATAGAAAGGGATAATGGGCTACTGTAACAAATATTGAGAAAGGACCACTAATCATGTGCCTTAAAATCTTGCAAATATCACACAAAACAAGGAATAAAACAAACAAATTTAATGGAGGAAAAAAGTTAAGGGTAAAATTTCAAGAAAGCAACAGACACAACCCAACTGGCACTTTCCATGTAAACTCCACCAAAACCCAAGCCTTAAAAATACCTTTTACCACTGACAAAGGCAGAGCGAACATTACTACATTAGCCCACCAAGGATTTTTCATTCAAGAACTCATTTTTTGAACAAATATTTAATAAAGCTTGGAACTTTAACATAAACCCGCTAGCAAATTCCACATTTCTATGCAAAGAAAGAAAGATGTAAGGAGAAAGAGGACGAATTTACTTTGGTGTCCTGACCGGTCTTCTATTCTACGTCTGATGATGCACTGAACTGCGATAGTATACATCCTCTTAGTCGCGCCACCATCATTGACCGCCAAAAGCCTGATTATTCTATCACTCACGCGAGGTCATGTTCTCGCAGCCCTTCTTCTTGCCGTTGGATTGTCGTCGGATCTGTCACATAGATCTTTTCAGCGCTGCCAGAAAATGTGCTTGCCGTGTGGTGTGAAAAATAGGGAAGAGATTTAGGTTTTCGGCTGCGAAGATTTTTCTTTCTCCGATGTGCACAGTTTAGCCGAAAGGGGAAAAAAGAATGAAAGAGAAATTAGAGTAATTTATTGGGTTAGGGTTGGTGAAGTGCGGAAGGTATTTGTGGCAGGTCAATGATTTTTGAAGATTTGTCACTAAGACATATCTAGTTAAGGTCACATACTCGTAAATAATGGTTTCTCATGCTGTACATCACAAAATTCAGGCCAAGCGGCCAGTTTCTCATGCTTTAACTCTACAAGAATGGTTTTACAGGACAATAAGCGAAACTAATACATAGTTCACGAGCTCATATCTAGTTAAGGTCACATACTCGTAAATAAACACAACAGCCATTTTTGGTCACTTAAACGCAACTGTCGCTACACATCAAGAGATTGTCTACAAAAAGGAAGAAAAAAAGAATAATCTATAATAATATACATTGCTATACCACAAAAGAAAAACAACAACACTTCAAAAGACATCAACCATACCTCTTCTGTGAACTAAAGTACAAGCTTTTGTAAAGGGACATTAGGAGAAGGGTCCTCATCCAACCTTTCAGAAACCTGTAAGAAAATATAATGAGCCACATATTTTATGACTGAAAAACTAAAATCATGAGGTAAACCTACACAGAAAGACCCGATTATCATTCGAGATCGCATATACATTTGCTTCCCTCATACAAATTAATCGTAGGTG